TCACATTCATCTTGTCTGAACATATACCAGAGAACTTCACTGTTTGATGTTTTCTATCCTTGCAAGAAGTACAATCCAAGACATAAAAGTTTCATTTATGCCAGTCTTGCTCCACCACCGTGTCTCAACCCTGATCTCAAGTGACCAAGCATAGGAAGGGGAGGGTTGGTTCAGATATTGCCACTGACGATGACAGTTAATGTCAACTAATATGTGTGTGTTACAGTGAAATATTCAGGCTATATCCCTGACACACACAAGCAGGGAAAAGGCAGGACAAGCTGATTCAGATCTGACATTCCAGTTTGCTGCCAGAATTGTGCGAGGAACCAACTTGGACAGAGAATTAATTTAGGACATCATTATCATCCTCTCCCACATGCAGAGTTGGCAGAGATTTCCAGGAGTTGCCAATTTTAGCACAGAATTTAAAGCATTCTGATTCTGCACTTTGTTAGAATGAGAATCCTGTGCCAGATCTCTTCACAGCACTGCATGTCAGGGAGGGAAGGGGGGAGTTCACAGGCCTGCTCCCTCTACTTTTCAGTGCCATTTCTACATTTTAGAGCAGCTCCAATTAACAATGAAGTGTCTGGAAAAGGGGCTGAGAAGGGAGACAAAGCAAACATTTTAATCAGCATGTTGAAAGTCAAATTATGGCCTGGACCACATTCTGGACAATGGCCATAGTTTCCTTTGGAGTCAGGCAAAGTCAGTTCTCTACTCAGAGTGGTCAACAGGTTTCACAGCTCATGGACCCCAAGCTCTCTCCCACACAATCTCCGACCTGGACACTTGCAGAACATGATGACAGACTTATGCTGCTCTTTTCCTCTGGACTCCTGACAGGCACTCTGAGCTTAGAGCAATAATTCATCCAGTCTGTCGTATGAAAGGAGAAACTCTCTTTGATCAAAAAGAGGGGGTCTAGTTCTGATTGCACAGACCCAAGTTTTACATCAGGGCATGAGTGACTGGTACCACTTGAGTCAGAGGGGGCACTTGCCCCCCCGCAGTGGCCAGTCAGTGATGGGGGGAGGGGTCCCCCCACAGCCAATCTCGCCAACTGGGAAGCATGAGCAGCACTCCTGGAAGTGCCAGCGGTGCTTCACCTGGTGCCCCCACTCCCCGGCCAACACTCACCAGTGCTCCCACCTGCCCCCTCTGCCCATCACCTAAGTGGGGAGCGCTGCCTGTCAGGGGGTGTGCCAGCACTCTCAGGGGGTGCACGTGCACCCCTATGCCCCCCCCTATGTGTTGACACTGCAGGGTAGCTTCACTGATTTCAGTGGAGTCGCTCCTAATTTACCCAAGTACTTGCCCAATATGAATCTGGACATGGACAGATCAGAAAAAGAGCGAGATAATTATCCCGTCACCTTATGGTTTCAGATAAGGAAGCATATTTCTAATCACAGATCTTGGGAGCTCAAAAAATGATGCCATTTGTGATCTCACAGACAAGAAACTAGAGAAGGTTCAGAGGTAGATTCAAATTCAACTCTCCCTCAGAGTTCAGCTCTGAGATATTGGTTTAAATTCTTGGAGAGTCTAAGAAAAGCACCATGTTTAAATAGGAATCCAGCTCCGACCCTAACTGTAGGTTTAGGGCATTTGCAAACGGGGTTTAGGGTTTCCATATCAGGAAAAATCCATGTCCCACAGCTGTAATTACATTGCCAACAGACTCCTGACAATCTTTCCTGCCTACTGGCACGGGCATGCAGGAACTCTTCTCTAGTCTACATACCTGTGCTGAGATGTAATCAGTCAGCTTGGGGCATAGGCACATTTACTCCTACATAAACAAGGCAAGCTGAAACCATCTTTGAAAAGGCGATCAGCAGATATTGCACAATTCAAATAATTCCTTGTATTTTATATAAGCAATTCATTCTTCTTCAGCAATCCCTCACAGTCGAGGACGATTATTTTTCATGTTTGTCTTATCTGTGGGTCCAAAGACAGCTGACAAGGCCTATCCAGAATTGACACTCTGTTGCACTCAGACACATGTTTCTGTGAAGGATGGGTGTCTCTGGGTTCTTGAATCGGTCCCAAATGGGACCTTTGAAAAGCACCCGGCACTGCGATTCTTGCAGTTGTATATAAGTGGTGAAATGCGTATTAGCACTGACAAAATGGTGGTAGCACACTTTTGAACTGAAACACCTCAGAGCAGCAAATCTCTGGTGTGTCACAGGAAAAAAAGTATGTGTATAAATGCCTATAAGGTTTCAAAGTACTGAGATCCTTGCAGCAGACTCTTCCTCAGTTGGGGGCAGTCCCGGATGGTAGTCGCCCATGAGTTGATGTTGAAGTTGAATTTTTTTCAAGATGGCCTTGACATCGTTGAAGTGCTTCAAGAAGTGAGTCATTAACTACAGAACAGATTTATAACGCTGTATTGAATAAATCTGCCTTTAAGAAGAATAAGGCAGAAGATTATAACTCAATCCAAATTTTCCCTCCCATCCTTTGCATTTCAAGGTTTGAAAGAAAGGGATGCTGATGAAATAACCATGTGGCACATAGCCTGCTTTAGGACTACAGCCACCACAAATAGCTCTCTTGAAGATAGTGGCTCTTTCTCTCTCTATCCCATAGATCTGTGGGTTTTGGAAAATCCTAAGGAATGTGGTTAGCTTTCCTTTCCTGGCCATGATCTTTGAAGCCTGCAATAGCTATGGGTTAGAGCCTCCTCAAGATCAAGGGGAAAAATAACCTGGAGCCTACGCTCTCCAGGGCTAGGATACACGTGTGCAGGATCTCGTCAAAAAGGGTAAGCGGAGAAATGCTTATCGTCCTGAGGTAAAGCAGTTGCATCAGAGCCTTCTGAACTGCCCTTTTTCTGGGTTGGACAAGGGATGGCAAAGTGGGTGGAAATATCCCAAACTAGTGTTTGGGAACCATTCCTG